ATTTTCAACACGCTGTCTACAAATTCAAGTTAAGTGTCTATCTGAAACCCGTTTATCATTCATTTATGGCCATTAATGTCAGGATATAGGGTGACCCGGTTAGATCACGTGGAAGCCTCAAACTAAAGGTAATTAAGCCAGGTCTTCAATGTTCCATGTACTGTATAGTGTTTTCTCTGATATAGCTTGTCATATATAGGATTCTGGCTTCACAGCTAGCGCACTTTTGACAGGTCAAGACGAGGAAGAGTTTGTGCACCAGTTACCTGGGTGATGAAAGCTACCTCAAAGAGGATAATTTGGTGTCTACACCCTAGTTATACCTGGTGGACTAACCTGCTGTACTATAAGATAAGGAACCTTTTTCAATGTATGTAGTTAATACTGTAGTTTGATTGGCTGCATATATATTAATTTAATAAACCCCACTAATGTGTAGAGGATCGATTTGTGAGATTAAGAGATTATTGCAGAAATACAGTCCACTTATCATTATACAAATTGCTATCGAAGTATATAAATTAACGTAAATATAAATTCATATAAATTAAATAAATATAAATCTCACAGGTCGGTTCCCACATTATTTGGTCATCTTCGAACCGGATGACGGATTATTTGATTCTTTGAACCCATATTTGGTCATCTTAGTACCGGATGAACCAGTTATCCAGTGGATTCATTAAATATACTAGTGCAGTGTTATTTAAACAAAGGCCAGCCAGTCAAAGACGGAAGCGTAGCCTCGAGGGAGCTCAGGAGCCTCCCTCAGTTCAGATCAGCCTTAGTCAGCGGTTTCATGCACACCCACAGATTTGGTGGCGTGTTATTCTGTGAAATGACAGCGCTAATATAGAAGCCAGCCAAATTAGTGACTGTGTCGCGAGATTGTTCACGGATTTCGTGGTGTTACATTTCGCGAGAGATTATCCACGAATTTTGTGGACTTTATTTCGCGAGGTCACTAATAATATTTAATACTTCTTGATAATATTAGAAGTTTCATAGAGGCTAATTAAGAGGCTATTATCAATAATTGTGTATATTATTTCTCCAAAATAGAGAATTATTTAATATATATTGCACTAGTGATCACAGTATAATATTTACTAATTGCCAACCCACAACAGGGTAGGATAAAACCATTGACTAGTTGAACTATTATCGTTCATCCTAGTCCCATTATTACCATAGTCAGTTGTACTATATTGATCAACCTAACACCATTAATGAATGGTCCAGACCCTATTTTGGGTGTAATTTTTATCAACTCGAATTGAGTTGTATATAATAATTTACTTATGATCATTACACCTTTGAGTGATTAATTAGTGTCTCTACCATCCTAGGGTGATATAGAAGAGCTAACCTAAAGGTACTTCCAGTGACACTGGTTTATCACTCAAATCATTAGTGTGTATGATTGTATATATATAATGTGTATTAATTTTAAGTGCTAACCTCTAGTAGAGGTAGGATTATTGCCTAGTGAGTGCATTTTACCCTAGGCTACCATTAGAGCTTGTTCAGTATTATGAGCAGCCCAAGTACAAGTCCCACAAGGCTTCACCAACGAGCCAGTATGGATAATGCAGGGAGAATGAAAAGAACCCTTGCAGGTCTTAAAAGCCACTTAACAAGACAGATCAAGAAATGTGAAGATTTGTCACAACAATCTCAAGTTGATTATGCTGACCTGGAAAGCTATTATCAAGCAGCTGCAGGTAAATTTGAGCAAATCAAATGCCAAATGGCTGACCTTGTGGGGACAGACTACTACCATCAATTCATCGGTAGCCCTACTAAATATCAGGGCATAACCATGTTAAACTCTGCAGGAGGTAAATTACTCTCAGGCCCAGTATCAAGCCTGAGGAGACCTATGCCTGCAGATAAACAATACCAATAGAAATCTAAATTTGTCAGCTGATTATATTTCTCCAGTAGCATTATACTAAGGAGATTACAGCTGACTATACCAACAGAGGTTGATGTTAGTATCATCATTTGAAGCTGAAGATGAGTTCATGAGGCCTCAGTGGCAAATCAGTGAACAGTAGCCTAAAACAGCTACAAGTCACTGCGACCAATGTCACTGAACCCACTGCAGTCTCAGAACCATACTTTACTTTAATGATGAGCTATTCAATCTTCTGAATCAATTAACTAAATTAAACCCCAATAAATCTGATGACTGATTTGATACATTTATTATTTAATCAAGATGTATTCCATGGGCCTCAGTGTTTATATATCAGTGACCAGTTACCTGAAGAAACTTCAAGTTATATCTAATGTCACTGATCTCACTGCAGTCCCTGAATCATACTTGACTGTAGTACTTGTTCACATCCAGTCTTCTGGGTTAAATAATATGTAATAAGGCTTGAATATTAGCCTTTCAAGAGTTGACAGGGAAATGAAATCGCATTAGACTTCTAACCCCTGCAACTCTAGTACGGGACATCCGTCCTGTACGAACAGACACACAAATGTGTGATTACTAACTACTAACATTAAATTAATCTAATAATTCGAAGCAGGAGTATCGGTGTTCGTCTGTTCTAATTAGGACTTCGACCCGTGAGCAGCCCCTGGGGAATTATGTCGGAAAATCCGACACCATTTAATAATCATACAGATAATAGCTGTATTGTATAAACAAGTTACCCATAGAAAACGTAACTTGTAGTGGAATTACCGTCTATAGAAAACGGGATATCATCACCACATACTATTATAATTCACCAGCTATTCTGCTGGGAATTATTCTTAAATACATTAGTCTTTGGACTTTACCATCATAAAAACATCTTATATAAATTAACTTAATTATCAATATTAAAGTAGAGTAAATGTGACCCCTCTATCACTTTCTGAAATCTGGACAAGTGAGCCAGGCGTCAGAGGAGGAAGGGGGGAGCCATTGTTGTGTCACCTCCGAGACGTGTGGAGCAAATACGGCTCCTATCATATCTGGACAATGTCGGCCAGTAACGTCAATAGTATGGAGTGTTAAACAGCCATTGTTTATATTGAGACCAGAGGCTCACACGGGAGCAAATTCGGCTCCTGTTAAATTTACTTGGACGTAGTGTTATGGAAACCAAAGGTGTACCATTTTCAACACGCTGTCTACAAATTCAAGTTAAGTGTCTATCCGAAACCCGTTTATCATTCATTTATGGCCATTAATGTCAGGATATAGGGTGAACCGGTTAGATCACGTGGAAGCCTCAAACTAAAGGTAATTAAGCCAGGTCTTCAATGTTCCATGTACTGTATAGTGTTTTCTCTGATATAGCTTGTCATATATAGGATTCTGGCTTCACAGCTAGCGCACTTTTGACAGGTCAAGACGAGGAAGAGTTTGTGCACCAGTTACCTAGGTGATGAAAGCTACCTCAAAGAGGATAATTTGGTGTCTACACCCTAGTTATACCTGGTGGACTAACCTGCTGTACTATAAGATAAGGAACCTTTTCAATGTATGTAGTTAATACTGTAGTTTGATTGGCTGCATATATATTAATTTAATAAACCCCACTAATGTGTAGAGGATCGATTTGTGAGATTAAGAGATTATTGCAGAAATACAGTCCACTTAACATTATACAAATTGCTATCGAAGTATATAAATTAACGTAAATATAAATTCATATAAATTAAATAAATATAAATCTCACAGGTCGGTTCTCACAATTCAACAAGGATATGCACGACCAATGTGGAACAATGCAGTTTGAATTGAGGAAGGGAGTCTTCAGTTAAGTTCCATAGAGTTTAGCAGATATGGCCAATGCGTTACGTAACCAGAGCCGTTTTCCAATGACAATTAAGGTGGAAGCAGGCAGGCCAAGGGGACAAGCTTCCTGTAAGAACACCGTTAACCGCTTCATACGACTGCCAATGGCCTCGGTCCGGGGAATGAATGATTTGCATAAAGTGGTACAGGGAAGGACTTCAGGAAATAGTTCAAGTGCAGATTGATTCTAGCGGCAGTATCCGTGCTCTATTCAGGTGAACAACTGAATAAGGCTGGGAACCTAGCTAAACAACCGTCTTCAATCTGCTGGAGAACAGAAAGTAAAAATTTTATTTCACCTATCTGCAAAGATAACCATTAATGAAAAAAAATAATATTGCGGCAAGTTTACTGAAGATGCTAGCATCCAGGGTAGGTGGGTTAGACGTTTGGTCCGTAAAGGTAATAGCGTAGCCAATATCAGACCTAAACTCTGAATTGTGCAACATAATGTGCGCGCGAAGATAAATCTTCAAGTCTAAGGGAATGGTTATCCGCTAGATTTGTACCCAACGACTGAAGTGGTGTGCACCCAGCATTGGTTATCACCCTATGTAAGGGCACAAGTACCTCGTAGCTCAAGATCAGTGTTCATATAAGTAGTTCAGATATAATGTGTGGCGACATATGATGCCTGGTTATACTGGCAGTATACACCACTTTTATAACCATTGATGTCTCATGCCGACAATCTTCGCAGAGGAGCGTAGGTCAGCGAGATCACCGATGACATGACAGTCCCAAACGGTTCTGTTAACCTTTCCTCCTATGGCCAGCGACATCACATACGCCCATAGTTTACCTAATCACATGCTTGTAAATTATGTAAAGCACACTGCTACCCCTTCTGCCTAAGGATATTGCCTCAAGTTTATTTTTATTTTGCCGATAGGAGTTAAATGCTATTAATGCGTTTGGGGAAGACTGCCACTGCTTTAAACAACTTAGTGAGAACAGGTTGCCTTGCAGCCTGGCCAACACTACAGTGCTGACCTCGCCAGCAGGTAGGCGTCTGCAAACTGATAGCACTCTAATCTATACCCAGACTAACAACTCAAGGTCGCCACATTGACATTATCCCCTTTGTCTGACCAACACCCCCCCCCCCCCCACCACACACACTTTTCTACAATAGATCAAACGTGTTTGTACGACGGGCGCTGTAGACAAATTACTTTAGAGAGAAAACAAAGTGTGTGTTCAGTATTTATATTACTACAAATCAGATCTTTTATTAAAGATTTTTACTCTAGACAAAATGAATCAATAGGATTAAAAGCTTACTGCTATTAGTTATAATATTACAATAATGAGAACAAATGGAGAATAACTATTGAACATAGAAGCGTGGAGCCTCACAGATGACACGCCTCAGGTGGAAACAGGAAGAGTCGTGCCAAGTGACACCATCGTTATACTGGTTGTTTAGCACCGCCAGACAGTCCTCGTTGCCTTCATCGTTGTCTGGCTGTGGTAGTCCTCGCCTGGGGAAGACAAGTGGTACTCAATGCAATGATCATTACCAATCAACACCACGAGTGTGGTTTACAGTCAACAAACCAGTTCTCACCTGCCGGTACTAGACCAGTTAGAGTAGGGAGAGGAAGTGCCAGATAACCACGACCAAGACCTCGAGTTACGTTTGTTGCCGCTCGTCCAGATGTCGCTGATGTAGTCTGAAATATACCATTTCATTACATCCAAGTCAGCGACTCCAGGCCAAGTTAAACTCCAAGATCAGCTTGTCAACTTACGTGCAATCATGAACCTGGAGATTAATTCTTGCTTCCTGAGACTTTCAATACTGACGGCCTGGAAGCCGTTGCCAAGGCCAGAGCAGTAATAGGTTGCTTGCTCCCAGGTGTAGAGTCTACCAGAGTCGTGACACCATGAGAAGTGATACGCTCTGCCGTCCTCTACCTCGTCAACCTGACCAGTTGGAATACACATTATGTGGGGGGCTCATTTTAAGTGCCATTTAACCTTAAAACTGCTATATTAAAGGAAAATAAAACGTCTTACCAGGGGTTTAGCAGCATGGTTACATAGAGATGAAGTTGGACGGAAGGTAAAGGGAGGCAATAGGGGAGATACTTGTTGAGGCAGAGGAATGAAGGCCCGAGGCTGGCTTGGAAGTTGTGGCTGAACAAACACAGGTTGTTGGGCTGGTAGTTGTGGGAGAGTTGCTGGGGCCGCCTTCAGATACCAAGAGGTTCAGTTGAGGTAACGAATGGCCTGTCAACAGTGACTCCCAAGATGACAGGAGCAGCGTCGTCTCTAATGAAGTATTGGGCCCAGGATGGCATCACTCCCGTCGCAATCACCAGAAATATTATGACACTCATCTGTAACGAGATTTAAAAATATTACAAAATTCATTGCAATTGTAGCTGCAAAAGTCACTGACAACTATTGTTAAGTTACATGACAAGTAAACAAAACATGTCTTCATTTTGGAAGTAATAATTTTGCAAAACTTGTATAGATTCAAAGTAGCATATACATAATTAAGTATATTTTAGACAAGTTAAAGATTTCAGTAGTGAAGTTTCACACACACACACTCTCCTGACAAAAAAAAAAAATAAAATTTTGACATATTAAGTAATTATTAAAAGAAAGCATCAAACTGGGAAGGCTATGTAGCACCATCAAATGCACGAAATAATCAGAGGACGCTAAATATCATCGATGATGCCAATATAGAATAAAGACCCAAGGCGAAAGATATCAAAAGCACCCCATTTACCACGAACTATCGAGGGACAAGCGACTGCAAGGAACGGTAGGAAAGCAGAACACCCTCGTCCTGGTAGTCAAGACATTCAATAAGGACATGCACGACTGAACGCAGAAAAATGCAATTTGGACAATTGATGGAGTTTCGCCCTGCTCCTTAGTGATGGTGAATTAAGCAAGTGGCCGATATGCAACCTTGCTAGAGTCACTTCCTGCCGCCAGTAGGAGGAAGGACACTGAAGGGGGGGGGGGGAAACTATGCTTAAAAGCACACAGCTTGTTATCAACTACAGAAAACCAACAACCCTGCCAACAGGCAAGGATGGAGGAATGAATAACTGGGTAAAAGCCAGAATACCTTTACTGGAGATGAACAAGAACAGATAGGCTTTCTAGCAGCAGCATCTGTACGCTTAAACACCAAAATAGCTGGTAACCCAGCAAAGCTACAGATAAGTTTACTAGAGATGAGCAACAACCTATGCTTCTCGATAACCACTGGATGAACAGGATTAAGGGACCCTAGAGCCACGAGGAAAATTAACTACAACCACAAAGGATTGACACAGAACGCAGGAGACAGTAGAGAGAATAGCATAAATTTCCACTAAAGATGCTAGTCTCTGAAGGGAGGCAATACACAAGTGCGGTCAGGAAAAACAGTAGCCTACATCGCCCGCAGACTTAGACCCATCGGTGAAGATTGGAACCAAGCGGATGTGTGAAGAAAAGTGCTCAAGGAAAAGGCTTTTCAGAACCATAGGAGGCGTAAATGCTTTAGTGATGCGGTTCAAGGATGTACAAAACTTTGGAAGGGGGACTCAATTGGTGATGGAGTCTCCCCCCCTCCCCCCCCCCAAAAAAAAAAAAAAAATTATGATGAGAAACATTAGAACCAAGGACCTAATGAGAATAATGTTAGATATACACAGACAAAACAAGGGAGGTGGTGAAGAGGGACAGGTAATACAAGAGGGGTAAAATGCAAAGCACGACAGAGGCTGGAGAAAAAGTTTTAAGGACCGCACAGAATAGCGAAGACAGTAGCAATTATGGCAGTCCTGTAGAGATAGGAAGCTAGTGTCAACGTACAAGCCGAGGGTTGGAGTTGAACAAAAGGCACTAGAGGCGAGGTGCAATCCAGTATGGTGCAAAGCATCAAAACTGCGAAGAGTAGAAGCAGGCGAGTAAACAGGGCAACCATAATCTAGTTTAGATAGGACGAAAGAAAAATGTAAAAAGGAGAGAGTGCACCCATCTCTTCCCCCCTCCAAGAAGTATGGAACAACACCTTAATGAGGTTAAGGGCCTTAGAGCTTTCAACTCTCAGGTAAGAGATATGGGGCGACCAAGACAAACGAGTGTCAAAGATGAACTCCATAACCTTAACGCAATTTTTATTCAAGGCGAAGACCATGAAGCAACAAGGATGGACGAAAGAATTACACGCCTCCGAGGATAAGTCATAGAACAAATTTTAGAGAACTAAGCCATGATCGATGGCCCAAGACGACACGGCATCAATTGCAAGTTGAAGACGCCGTTGAAGAGGCGAATCATCACCGATAGCAAGGTTAAGATCGTCGACAGAGACGAGAAGAGGCCAGAAGGAAAGAAGATCATTGAGGGCAACCAAAAAATATATTTTGTTCAGAACAGTACCTTGGGGTACACCCTCATATTGCCTTAAAAGTGCAGAGAGTTGTACCAAACCTCACTAAAGAAACGAGGAGATGAAACTTTAGCAGATGAGGGGGAAGATCCCCACAAATGCCAAAAGAATGAAGTTGAACAGAATATGATACCGCCAGGAAGGCAGCATCATATTCTGGCTCTAAGAGCCTTAAGAGGCTCTTCCAGGTCAAAAAGGACGGCAACAATAGAGATCCTTGCAGCAAAAGTAGTACGAATAGAGACCAAGTTCACCAGGACATCTGTTGTGCTGCAGCACATGCTAAAACCAAGCTGAGAAGGAGACGTGGTGATAGTGGTCCAAGAACTACATACGAACATTAACCATACGTTAAGACTTTAGAGACAACTTTCGAGGGCAATAGGGCGGAAACCTTGGAAAGGGTAGTCGAGGGATGACCTAGAGTGGTTTCCATAATGGGAGGACAACCGCATCGAGCCAGTCCTCAATGATTGACTACGACTCCCAGGTCTGATTAAACCGACTCTAAATACGTGTAGAGACGAAAATATCAGAAGTTTCACAATCTCCCTCCCCGCACATCTCAATGATTGGCATCAGAGTCCACCACCGTAGAACCACAGAGGGCTACGGCAGAGAAGCTCAGAAGGGATCGTTATAGGGAAGGCCGAGATGGCTACAGAAATCTAAAGGGAGAGATTCAAGAAGACTTAAGGAAAGCTCTATGAAGACGAGAACCAGAACCAACATAAAAAGTGGAAACCTAATTTCTTCATGATGTGCAACCGGTCCCCCCCCCCCCCCTAACACAAAGTATCACAGATGAAGGACTGGCGAGACATCGTGAACCACTGTCCCCACTGTCTTGTAGACACGCTTCCAGATCTGCAGCAGGAGGAGTTTCAGACGTAGTGGTGGAGACAAGACAGTACACATGTTTAGCTGTACTGATGGTCCTTCTGGCCACCACTCTTTCCGAAATAAAAGAAAAGACTCAACCGTCTGCAGTTTCTCCCAGGCTGCATGCTTACAGCCCGAGCAGAGTCTACCAGGGAATGCACTTCCGCCTTCCCCGAGAAGGAGAGCGAGGAATAGAGTACGAGCTATGTCGAAGACTCATGAAAAAAGGAGGGCCACGAGGGAGAGGCAGAATGGAAACGTTGGAGGTAGTAACATGGAGGGTAAAGAAGCGCCAGTCAGCTTCAGCAAACTGGCACCTAGGGAAGGAGTGGTGAGGGTGAAACTGAAAAGTGTAACAAGGATAGGAAAATGGTCACTGCCATGGAGATAATCAAGAACCTGCCACACGAAATCAAAGTAAAGAGATGAACAAAGAGAAAGATAAAGACAGGAAAGGGGTGCGAGTCCGAGAATCCAAATAAGTGGGCTTGCCAGAATTCAGGAGATGGAAGAAGAGAGGAACGGTTCAAAAAGGCGACCCCATGTGTCACAACATCACCCCAAAGGGTATGTTGACAATTTAAATCCTCCAGCAGGAGCACAGGCAAGGAATCAGGAATTTTTTTTTTTTTCTAAGAACAGGAAGAGCAACCTGGACATTTGGGAGGGGGGGGGGGGAAAGGGGAAGGGTTGAGAAACTAATAGCCATGGAAGCTACCAGGACGAGCACCCAAGCACTGGCTCCTGAGACAGAGGCGAAAACTGAAATTAGAAGTTGGAGGTAAGGAAATTTGCGTAGTATCCACGAAAGTTCCACTGAAGAAAAGACAAAGAACATAGCAACATAGACGAAAAGGGTGGAAAAGGAACAACACATTAAAGAAGCTCAGGGTCAGCAAAGTCAGGCGGATTGGGTAAAATGATTAAAGATGGAAGGGAGCAGGGTCCAGAAGAGGAGGAGGCAGAGGAGACAACCAAGAGTGGCAGTCAAGGACAGCAAGAGGGGAGCGCACCTCAGCAACCAATAGGGGAGCGGGGGCCAAAGAAACTTTAATAGCAGGAAGAGGGGGCTCAACATGAGAGTGAACAATATCTCTGGGAATGTAATGGACATCAGCCCACACACAAGCGTGGAGAACCAAGAGATGGAGGACCAGAGGGAGAGGAGAAAGAAAGGAGAAGAGACATGACAGACCGAGTAGAAATAAGGGGAACCCCTGACAAAGAGGGGAACCATTCCGGACCAAACAAAGGAACTGGGGAGGTGGGCGTGCCTGGGTATAAGGCCTGAAGTGGTTGCGAGACTGAGGAAGGACGAGGAGAGGGGGGGGGGGGAAGTGCAACACGTGAGTATAAGAGTCGTACAGGGAGAGGGTAGAGTTGAACCTCTTCTCAGAAAAAGAAACTTTCCCAGTGTTTCAGGTGGAAGACTGCCGCCTCAAGTTTGTAATCTATACACTAGTATCTGGCAGCCAAGAGGACAGCACTTCGGATTCTTAGGCCTGAGGTTCGATCCGAAGTGGAGGCAGAGAAATGGGCAAAAAGTCTTTCACACTGATGTTCCCGTTACCCAGCAAGGTATAGGTACCTGGGAGTGAGCTGCTGTGGGCCACTTCCTGGGGGGGGGGGGGGGGAATCAAGATTAGCTCAAGAGCACGAGTGAGAGAAGGTAGGGTCGGCCTCGCTGCAATTGAGGCAAGGAGCCCGGGGAGAAGTCTACTCCAACTTACACCCTTGTCTTGTGTGGAGGCAACATTGGAGCATGCGAGGGCACCATGCCAAAACTTCCAGTACTTTTTATAAGAGCCAATGAGATGGAACGTACTCCTGAATGGAGCATCTGGCACCAGCAAGAATGACAGGTCAGAAGGGTGGTAATATCAAAAGAAATCTTCACCACCCGAAGGGGCTGACG